AATGTTATTTAATACTTTTAACAACTAAAGTTATTGGGGCTTAGAAAATGGTACCCCAAAGTACAGTGCTCTGGTGGGCTGAGTATTTTGAATTAAAGGTCATGGGGAGGCTTCACAAGCCGCCTTAGAAGCAAATTCTCTGATCTCCTGAACTCCCATTTCCTCACCTCTTTTTTTTCCTCTGAAGCAAGTAACAGAAATCAGAATTCCTCTTCCCCAAGGCAGGTCACAGAAACTAGATACTCTCCCAAAGGAAGCAATGAAACCTAAAGAGGTCACTCTCTGCCTTCTCCCTTGGAGACCCTCACCCAGAGGAGTTCTGCTCCCATATTCTGGAGCAAGGAATGCTTCACAGACAGGCCAAGACAAATCTCAACAGCCAGCCTTGCTGTGTTTCCCCACCCAGTGTTCTGCCATTAGGTCACACCCTCCTGCCCATCACATTTCTGCATGCTGGCCATGCTTCATTGAACCTCAGTATAACAACAATTTTCTCTAGGTTTTAGTGTCTTCATTATTGATGTCTCCTCTGAGTAGTAAAACTTTATTAGTTTGCTGTGCTTTTCTCTTCTTAATCAACCTTTTGTTGTAGGCATGTTAGCTGTGACTCCTATGATGGAAGAGGAAAGGTATCACAGCTTTCTGTCACTGCAGTCTCTGTTCAAATAATTGTAAATTTTGTCATATAGTTTCCCTGGCAAAACTACCTTGTTGAATATAATAGGGAATATATAGAGAATTTCTAAATGGCAGAAATCAGTTGTTTGGGAAATTATTCTAATAAGCATGTTAACAGTGAGTGAAGCTTTTTGGGCACTGAATTAGGAAGTGAGAAGGCATCAGTAATGAGTTAAGAAATGACATTTTTCACTCTGACCAAGAGATGTGAGAAAAATGAGAAGAAGAAACATGAGTTTACCCTTTGTGAAATTCATTTATATGAATTTCTAAAATTCTGCTCAATTGAAATATATTACATAGCACTCATTCTTAAAATATAAAGGCTCTAGTAAAGCTTAAGGAACATGTATTGAATATAACATTCATTCTGTCTTAAACACATTTAGTGAATGAGTTTCCAACACCTGACTGGGATTTTCAGATATCCAGGGGCATCATTTTCTGTTTGTCTTGGCTTTACTTCTTCCTTTTATTCCACTCTCCTTTTTGAAGGTTGGGGAGGAAAGATAGGCACATACAATTAGAACTCTTGATTTACAGAGAGAGAGAGCTGTATACATGCTTTATTAGCCTGCAGTTTATGGAAAAGAGTGTCAGATGGAAAACTGGAATGGACATGGAAGGGAAACTTGGGAAGGCACTGGAGATAAATCCCTCTCCTGTGGTTTTGCCCAGAGGAATAATCATATCCTGACACAGAAGTATCATCTTCAGCAGATTCTATCTGAGCTAATGGCTTGCTTTTATTTGACACTGAAGTTTCTTCTACACATGGGAAACCAGGACCAGCCTCTGCTTCAAATTGTGCATCACACTGAGTCTTGTGGTAGTAAAGGAGACATGGAGGTGGCACATAGCATCTGTAGCACAGGTAGGACATTGTTTTTGGTTCAAGATAGCATCAATAAGCAAATATCCGGGAATATTCTGTTTATTTTGGAAATACTGCTACCTCTTCCAGAATATTGGCTCCTCATGTTTAATTCAGAAATCAGTGTCTTTGTTATCTTCTCAAATAGAGGATCCTTGAGCATTCTGAAGAGATTTCTACCCCCAACATACATAACCAGTTATTCTGTAGGACAGCACATTACTTATTTTCTTTCATAGTACTTAATACAATTTGTACTTGTCTACTTGTGTTTACTTGCATATTAACCAATATATTTATTTACTTGTTTGCTTTAATAGTCTCTTTTAATAAGAATATATCTGAGGCCAGTATTGTGGCATAGCAGGCTAAGCCTCTGCCTGCAGCACCAGCATCCCATACAAGTACTGGTTCTAGTCCCAGTTGCTCCTCTTTGATCTAGCTCTCTGCTAATGGCCTGGGAAAGCAATGGAAGATGGTTCAAGTGCCCTTGCACCCACTTGGGAGACCCAGAAGAAGCTCCTGGCTTCAGATCAGCCCAACTCCCTTTGTTGCGGCCATTTGGGGAGTAGAGCAGTGGATAGAAGACCTATTTCTCTGTCTCTCCCTCCCTCCCTCTGTAACTCTATCTCATGAATAAATAAAAAAATATTTTAAAAAATGATAATATACCTTTTTAGCTCTCAAATGTTTACTCAATGTTTATTGCAGTTCCTGGGCCATAAGAATTAATAAATACCAGTATAAAAAAATTAGTGTCATGCCTATGCCCAACAACCAGCCGAGTAGAGACTCCTGACTCTGGTGGGGAGAACTAACAGGCAACTGGGTGCTCATGACTGTGGGAGGCTTGTGTGCTATAACTGAAAAAACTGAGGCTGTGTGGGAGGGCTCATGGTGTGGCTGGGACTTTGGGCAGTCACTGTGGGGAGAATCCACATGCTCAGGGATCCCTGGTTACCTGGTGAGGAACACTGCTGGGGAATCTGAGCTTACACTGAAGACTGCACAGATCCTTTGTGTGGTCCTTGTGGCACAGCAGATGAATATTACATCCACTGAAGCTAGCGCTCATGCACTGGTCTCCTTTGATGAGAGGAGCTCAGCTGAGCAGAATAAACTTCCCCTCTGATAAAAAAAAAAAAAGGAGGAGATTGACCATGCCAAATCTGGGTGTGTCAGCTTAGTCACATCCTTCACCCTGGAGAACTGAAGAGAGCTCTATGGCTACACCCACTATAAACCTTTATATATTCACTGAAAGCAGTTACTCCACTAATCTACAGAGGAATAGTACAAAGACAAAAGCTACCACAGCAAAAAACCAAAGAAACCAACAGTATCTCCACAAATGCACCAATTCAAGAAACAAGAATAAGGAAGACAACGTGATGCCCCCAAAAGAACACAACAACTTCATTACTAGATTGTGAATATGATGAGACTGGAGAAATGCAAGAAATGCAATAAAAAATTGATCATAAGATTACATAGAAGTAATCAGAAGCATATGCACAAACTATTGAAACCCATATAGGACATGAAAGAAAACTTCTCCCAAGAAATTGATATTTTTTAAAGAGAAATCAAATTGAAAAAAAGTATTCAAAAGAACAAATGAAAAATGTAGTGGAAAGCCTTGACAACAGAATCAGTGAAGCAGAAGAAAGAATATCTAACTTAGACGACAAAGCACAGGAAATTATACAGTCAGACCAAAAACAAGAAGAGGAAATTAGAAAACTAAAATACACTGTTGGGAATCCACAGGATACTATCAAACAACCCAACATATGGGTTCTAGGAGGTATTGAAGGTGTGGGGAGCAACCCGGACTAGACTAAGTTACTGCTACTAAGTTCTATGCATCTGCTCTCCCACAATATGGCGCTGAGAAGGGAGAAGCAGCTTCTACACAGCTGCCTCCAGTTCAACCAATAAACAGCAGGACCTGCTCCTGATTGGAGGAGAGCAGCGTACTTGGCGTGTGGGCAGCCGAGTTAGGATTGGTGGAAGAGGACTATAAAGGAGGAGAGAGACAACATGCACCAGGAACATCTAAGGGGAACAATCTACCTGAAGGAACACCTGTGCAGCCCCCGAGAGAGCCGGCCGGCGGTGTGCCGCTCCCCCGCGGAAGTGGGGAATGTGGCAGGGGGAACTGCCCTTCCACGGAGGTGGAAGGGACAGTAGCCAACCCGGGAAGAACCAGCAGCAAACCCGGGGAGGGCCGAGCAGATGAAAGAACAGCGCAGGGTCCTGTGTCGTTCCTCCACGAAGACGGGGAGCGACAGAAGGCAGGGAAAGAGAGACAGGATTAGAAGGGTTTTTAGTGAAATAGTAACAGAAAACTTCTCTAATTTTGAGAAAGAAAGGGACATCCAAGTACAGAAAGCACATAGAACTCCTAATAGAAATGACCAGAAAAGATCTTCACCACAACAGATTGATATCAAACTCTCCACAGTAAAACATAAAGAGAAGATTCTAAAATGTGCACAAGAGAAATGCCAGGTTACTTTCAGAGGTTCTCCAATAAGACTAACAGTGAACTTCTCATCAGAAACCCTAGAAGCTAGGAAAGAAGGGCAAGATATAGTCCAAGTCTTAACAAAAAACCTGTCACTCCAGAATACTATACCTTGAAAAGCTCTCATTTATGAATGAAGGTGAAATGAAGACCTTCCATAACAAACAGAAATTGAAAGAATTTGTCACTACCTGTCAAGCCCTGCAAAATATGCTTAAGGATGTGCTGCACACAGAAACAAAGAAACATGATCATCACTACAAAATAAAGGAAGAAAATCTGCCACTAAAATTACAAAGGAATCCAAAGTAAAAAATAGGCATATTTTTGGAAAAATGGCAGAACAACGTCATTATTTATCAATTGTCACCTTGAATGTAAATGGCCTCAACTCTTCAGTTAAAAGATACAGACTGAATGGATTAAAAATCAAAACCCATATATTTTCTGCTACAAGAAACACATCTCACCAAAAAATATGCACACACACTGAAAGAGAAAGGATGGAAAAAGATCTTCCATGCTAACAGAAACCATAAAAAGAGCTGGTGTAGCCATCCTAATATCAGACAAAAAATAGACTTCAACAAAAATCATTAAAAGAGACAAATAAGGGCACTATGTAATGATTAAGGGATCAATACAACAGGAAGATGTCACTATTATAAATGTATATGCACCTCATTAGAGGGCACCTGGATATTTAAAAGAAATGTTAAGGGATATACAGGGATATTAAGCTGATCTTCTGTATATTAAGAGAATCGAAAATGAATCTTGATGTGAATGGAAGGGGAGAGGGAGTGGGAAAGGGGAAGGTTGCAGGTGGGAGGGATGGTATGGGGGGAAGCCATTGTAATCCATAAGTCGTACTTTAGAAATTTATATTCATTAAATAAAAGTTAAAAAAAGGGATATACAGGGAGACATAGACTCCCATACAATAATAATGGGGGACTTCAATACCACCCCACTTTCAGCAATGGACAGATCAACCAGACAGAATATCAGCAAGGAAACAACAGAATTAATTGACTCTAAAGACCAAATGGACCTAACAGACATCTACAGAATTTTTCATCCTACAGTTGCAGAATATACATTCTTCTTTCCAGTGCATGGAACTTTCTCTAGGATTGACAACATACTAGGCCATAAAGCAAATCACAGAAAATTCAAAAAATCAAAATAATACCATGCATCTTCTCTGATAACAGTGGAATGAAGTTGGACATCAGCAACTCAGGAGTCTCTAAGCATATGCAAACACATGGAGACTGAACAACATGTTCCTGAAAAACAGCGGACCTTGGAAGAAATCAAAAGAGAAATCAAAAAATTTCTGTAAACAAATGAAGATGACAACATAACATATCAGAACCTATGGGATACAGCAAAAGCAGTGTTAAGAGGAAAATTTACAATTGGTGCCTACATCAAGAAATTAGGCACCAAATAAATGAGCTATCAATGCATGTCAAGGCTCTAAAAAAAGGAAAAGCAAACCAAATGCGAAACTAATAGGAGAAAAGAAATAATTAAAATTAAAGAAAAAAAAATCAACAAAATTGAAAAAAATATAAAAGATAAGCTAAATGAAGAGCTGGATTTTATTATTATTTTTTTTTTATTTGACAGATAGACAGTGAGAAAGAGAGAGACAGAGAGAAATGTCTTCCTTCCATTGGTTCATCCTCAAATGGCTGCTACGGCCAGTAATGCTCTAATCCGAAGCCAGGAGCCAGGTGCTTCCTCCTGGTCTCCCACGTGGGCACAGGGGCCCAAGCACTTGGGCCATCCTCCACTGCCCTCCTGGGCCAAAGCAGAGAGCTGGACTGGAAGAGGAGCAACCGGGACTAGAACCCGGCCCATATGGGATGCCAGTACCGCAGGTGGAGGATTAACCAAGTGAGCCACAGCACTGGCCCCAAGAGCTGGATTTTTGAAAAAAAAAAAAAAATTGACACACCATTGGCCCAACTAACCAAAAAAGGAGAGAGAAGACCCAAATCAATAAAATTAGAGATGAAAAAGAAATGTAACAAATCAATCAATTTAATACATCGCATTAACAACCTGAACAAAAAAAAAAAATCACATGATTATCTCAATAGATGCAGAGAAAGCTTCTGATAAAATACAACACCCTTTCATGATGAAAACTCTAAGCAAATTGGGTATAGAAGAGACATTCTTCAAGCACAATCAAGGCAATTTATGACAAACCTATGGACAGTGTCCTTTTGAGTGGGGAAAAGCTGGAAGCATTCCCACTGAGATCTGGTACCAGACAGGGATACCCATTCTCACCATTGCTATTCAATATAGTCCTGGAAATTTTAGCCAGAACCATTAGGCAAGAAAGAGAAATCAAAGGGATACAAATTAGGAAGGAAGAAGTCAAACTATCCCTATTTGCAGACAACATGATTCTTTATTTAGGGAATCCAAAGAACTCCACGAAGAGACTATTAGAACTCGTAAAAGAGTTTGGGAAAGTAGCAGGATATAAAATCAATACACAAAAATCAACAGCCTTTGATTACACAGACAATGCCATGGTTGAGAAAGAACGTCTAAGATCAATTTCATTTAAAATAGCTACCAAAAAAATCAAATACCTTGGAATAAACTTAACAAAAGATGTCAAAGATCTCCATGATGAGAAAGAAATAGAAGATACAAAAAAAATAAAAAAAATCTTCTATGTTCATGGATTGGAAAAATTAATATCATCAAAATGTCCATTCTTCCAAGAACAATTTACAGATTCAAAGCAATACCAATGAAAATAGTCAAGACCTTCTTCTAAGATATAGAAAAAAAATGATGCTGAAATTCATATGGTAACTAAGAAGAACTCAAATGGCTAAAGCAATCTTACACAACAAAAACAAAGCCATAGCCATCATAATACCAGATTTCAAGATATACTACAAGGCAGTTATAATCAAAACAGCCTGGTCTGGTACAAAAACAGATGGATAAACCAATGGAACAGAATAGAAAACACCAGAAATCAATACAAGCATCTACAACCAACTTATATTTGACTAAAAAGCTAAAACCAATCCCTGGAGCAAGAACAGTCTTTTCAGCAAATGGTGCTGGGAAAACTGGGTTTCCACATGCAGAAGTATGAAGCAAGACCCCTACCTTACATCTTACACAGAAATCCATTCAACATGGATTAAAGATCTAAATCTACAGCCAGGCAACACTGAAATTATTAGAGAACACTGGGTAAACCTTGCAAGACTTTGGCACAAAGAGTTTTTGGAAAAGACCCCAGAGGCACAGGTAACCAAAGCCAAAATTGACAAATGGGATTACATCAAATTGAGAAGTTTCTGTACTGCAAAAGAAACACTCAGGAAGGTGAAGAGACAACTGACAGAATGTGAGAAATTATTTTAAAACTATGCAACTGATATAGTATTTTAACCAGAAGATACAATGAGATCAAGAAACCACACAACAACAAAACAAACAACTCAGTTAAGGCATGGGCCAAGGACTTAAACAGACATTTTTCAAAAAAGGAAATCCAAATGGCCAACAGACACATAAAAATTGTTCAGGATCTCTAGCTCTCAGGGAAATGCAAATCAAAACCACAGTGAGGTGTCACCTCACCCCAGTTAGAATGGCTTTCATAGAGAAATCCACAAACAACAAATGCTGGCCAGGATGTATGGTAAAAGGTACCCTAATCCACTATTGGTGGGAAAGTAAACTGGTAAAGCCACTATAAAAGACAGCATGGAGATACCTCAGAAACCTAAATATAGACCTCCCATATGACCTAGGCATCCAATCCTGGGAATTTACCCAAGGAAAATGAAATCAGTTAAGAAAACAGTTATCTGCACCCCCATGTTTATTGCAGCACAATTCACAATAAATAACAAATGAAATCAACCTAAATGCCCGACAACCAAAGAATGGATAAAGAAATTATGAGATATGTACACTATGGAATAGTACACAGTGGTAAAAAAAATGAAATCCAGTCATTTGCAACAAAATGGATGAATCTGGAAAATATCATACTTAGTGAAATAAGCCAGTCCCAAAGGGACAAATATTTTTTCAAAATCTTAAAAACACACACACACAGGGTAAAGATGATCTAACAAGATGCAAGACAAACCTAATTCCTTCCTAAAACTGAAAATATATTAGTAAATTCTGACTTGGAGTTTTGTTGTGTGGTACTATATATTTATTTTGATGTAAATACACATGTAGATACAAAGAGTGTGCTTTATTTTCTTAATTATGCTTTCTCCTATTTTTCTTGTCATGTGTGTCCTTGACCCACATTTATTTTCCTATCTTTGAAATCAATGGATATGAAAACAATTCACTTCAACTGCACTAAAAGAAAACCAACTGTGTGAGTTCCCTGTAAGCAGCAACTGAATTGGCCTCAGCGATGAGACAGAAGAGGACAGCAGGATGTAGGTAACTGCAGAAAACATGCCCCAAATGAACAACACCTTTACCAGATCTCAGGTTCAAAGAGAAGGTACAAGTTCTTTTCTTATGTGAAATTTTTTTCTGATTTTCAAAATGTTTGGGGGCTAATGGAAAAAAAAACACAACCAAATATACTTGTACATAGCAACACTGTTTTTTACTTTAAGATTTATTTATTATTTATTTTAAAGGCAGAGTTACAGAAAGGGAGAGGCAAAGAGCAAGAGAAGTCTTCCATCTGATGGTGCATTCCCCAGATGGTGGCAGCAGCCAGAGTTGGGCCAATCTGAAGCTAGGAGCTAGGAGCTTCTTCCAGGTCTCCCATGTGGGTGAGGGGGCCCAAAGACTTGGGCCATTCTTTATTGCTTTCCCAGGCCATAGCAGAGAGCTGGATCAGAAGTGCAGCAGCTGGGACTCGAACCAACACCCATTTGTATGCCAGCACTGCAGGTGGCAGCTTTACCTGCTACACCACAGCACTGGTACTAGCCACACTGTTTTGATAGGTCAAACAAATATTGGACCACAGTCAGTCCTGAAGATGTCTGTTTCCATTGTAGTGGATAGTTTTCATTTTCAACTGACAGCATCTTAGAGCACTAACACTTGGGGAATATTAGGAATAATGACTGTCTCTCCAGTTTCTTTCACAGTAAATGTACTTAATACATACGCAAGTAGACTGAATACAAAACCACCTACACTTGGTTACTAAGGTTCAAAAGTTAGTTATTTATGTGGAGAGAAAAATTGAACAATAATCATTTACATATTTTGTAACCACATGCTTAACAATTTCGAGCACTTTCTCTGAGCTAGGCACTATGTAAAAATTTTATAATAATCACCCCACCAATCTTTATGATTTTTCTTTGCATTAATACTAACATTGTTCCCTAGCTTGTCCAAGAAGTTAGTAAGATGCAGAGTTAGTAAGGGCAAGAGTTATAAAATAATGCAATTCTGATACCAGGGCCATCTGTTAAACATTAAATTATTATTCTACAAACTTGTATTGGAGAATAGCAAACTCATAAGAAAGAACAAGAATCAATAATTTGTTTTGGAAGCAGCCCTGGTTTTGCACCAGTTAGGTAACATACAAAATAGTTATAATGCAATATGAAACCTTTTGAAAATCCTGGCATTCTATAGAGAAAGTGTAGATTGATTAAAAACAAACAAACAAAGGCACCCAAAATGATATGAAGGACTCAATTTAAGGCCTCAAGGGAAATCAGTGAACAGATGCATGCTCAGAATCAATCATGAAAATGGCTATTATAGCTGCTTATTATTATTATTAGCAGTTTATTATTATTAGAGCCGCATTATTTTAGAAATTAGCCTGCTTGGTCCTAATAGCAGACTTTTTGGATGGGAGAAACATCAGGACATTAGTATTAGAAGCAGAACTAATCAAAGCAAAACTCTAGATAATTCTAATATTCAGCCAGATTACTATTTCTACCTTAGATTATCTGGTGATATTCAAGCCAGTCTCCTGAAGGTTCTGCAAAGGTGACTCCAGTACTCCAAAGAATTAGTAGGAATCCATGTGAATCATTCCCTCAGTCTCATTGGTTCATTTTTCTTTTTTTTTTTTTTTTTTTTTTTTGACAGGCAGGGTTAGACAGTGACAGAGAAAGCAAAACAGAGAGAGAAAGGTCTTCCTTCCCTCAGTTCACCCCCAAATGGCCACTATGGATGGTGCGCTGCGCCGATCCGAAGCCAGGAGCTGGGTGCTTCCTCCTGGTCTCCCAGGACTTGGGCCATCCTCCACTGCCTTCCCAGGCCACAGCAGAGAGCTGGACTGGAAGAGGAGCAACCAGGACAGAATCCAGCACCCCGACTGGGACTAGAACCCGGAGTACCGGCGATGCAGGCAGAGGATTAGCCAAGTGAACCACGGCGCCAGCCTCATTGGTTTATTTTTCAAAAAAAAATGTGTATCATATATTGGACTTCTGTATAGGATCTTATTTGTAAATTATTTTGTATTAAAAATAATTCAAAAAAGATGTTTTTAAATCTTTACATTCATTTTGATTTAAAATAGGAAGTCATGGTATAAAGAGGTGATTACAGAAACTTGATGACTTCAAGAATATACTGATGTAACATTCATCAGAGATCATGAAAATCCTTAAAAATGAGACTTTAGGCATTGGACACAGGAATGCTGCTGCAGTGCCACTTAGATCTTTATAAGTGTCCTAATCAATATTGTCATCTGAAATAACAGAAAAAAAAAGAGTTCATCTCAATATATCAATTAAGGTTGGGCATTTTTTCTAACTGATGGAAACAATTTGTAACCAGAATCCTACAAAAGAATGTAAGAAATGAAATATCTATGTCTTTGGAACTGTAAAAGAATTATAAAATGTATTTAAAAGTGAGGGGAGGGGAGAGAAACATCGACTGGCTTACTCCCCAAATCCCAATAGGCAGGGCTGGACCAGGTCACAGCCAGGAGCCTGGAAATCAATCCAGGTCTCCACGTGAGTGGCAGGGACCCAAGGACTTGAGCCATCACTTGCTGCCTTCCAGGGTAGGCATTAGCAGGAAGCTGGACTCAGAAGCAGAGTTAGGACAGGACCCATGCACTATAATATGGGATGGGGACATCCCAAGTAGCATCTCAACTGCTGTGCCAAATTCCTACCCCTCTGAAACCTCTTTCAATGCTAGGGAGAAGATGCTAGGGAGAGGGCAAGGGGAGGGGAGGGGAAGAGGGGGAAGGGATACTGAGTATGAATTTACTATAGTCACCACATCAGTTTCCACCACTTTGGTATTCTTTTTAATGCCAATAATTTTTTAGAGTTAGGAAAGGGAAAAATGCATACTTATTATAAAGGAAGAAGAGAAACAACTTAGGAAAAAGGATCTGGCAAAGGGCACAGAGGAAAAAAATGACAGATTTTAAAATGTAACTGAAAATACTTTAAGTATGTGAAAACAAAAATGAAGAGGCAGACTAGAAATTTAAGACAAAGAGAGAGAGTTCTATAAAATGTTCTCTGCATTCACTGGTATTCTATTGGTATAATGGTAGCCATTGGTTAAAAGCTTATCACAGGGACAAGTTCAGGTCTTTTAGTCTCCTAATAACCACTGAAAGCTGGTATGTTATGTCTGTGGAATATCGAGAACAAAATGTTAGTCAGTATCTCCACAACTGCATAATTTAAGGTATGTAAATAACTAAAATGTTCCTTTATCTACTTGATTCATTAAAATGTTTATTAAATGACTTCTATGTGCTAAGTACTACATTAAATAATGAAGACAGACTGAAAGATGAGGAAGACAGGTCCAGTTGGATTATGCTTCATTATATTCAAACGCATGAAATAGAAGACAAGTGCAGGTACAATAAAGCAAAATAGGATGTTTCTAATAAGAATAAATGGATTAATGGTGAATGACTGTAGATAAGGCTAGCACAGAATGACAGCAGATGAGATTCTTCCAGTGGTGAGATACTATTCCCAAGGCAAAAAGAGTCGGAGAATTCAAGGCATTAAAATCCAGAAAGGCTAAAGATTGAAAGATTATAGCATGTGTATGCATTGAATAGGGCCTTAGAGAATTCTGCACTGTAAGAAATACAGTGGGGTCAGTGCTGTGCGTAGTAGGCTAAGTCCTCACCTGTGGCACCAGCACCAGCATCCCACCTGGCTGCCAGTTCATTCCTGGCTGCTCCTATTCTGGTCCAGCTCTCTGGGCCATCTTCTACTTTGTTCCCCAGCCATAAGCAGAAAGCTGGGTTGGCGTAATCCAAACCTACAAGGTAGAGGAAGGAAAGCTCACTCTTCCTGAGCTGGGACATCTGTCTTCCCCTGTCCTCAGAGGTTCATTTCCGGGTTTTCAGGCATTTGGACTGGAACTGAATACCACTGGTTTTCCAGCTTGCAGATTATATATTGTGGGGCTTCTCAGCCTCCATAATTGTGTGAGCCAATTCCCATAGGTCCCTTATATGTCTGTTTAAATATTGGTTCTGTTTCTCTAGAAAATTCCAATATACTGTGAAACTTGGGAGAAAGATCTAATTGTCACAGAGATGCAGTAATTGAAGCCATGGGAGTTGAAGTTGGTAGAAAGTGTATAGAGTGAAAAATGGACATGGCATAGAGCACTAAGGGGCTCAGCAAATTTCAGAGAGATAAGATTAAGAACAGCAAACACAAGGGAGAAAAAGCAGGAGGAGGTGTGTCAAAGAAGACAGCCAGACAACATCCAATATAACAAGTTTGCATATAATATTTCAGTGTTTGTGGAAATGGAATTAAAACATAAGTTTATTTTGGTGCAAAAACTCTTGAAATCCGTACACACATCAGGACTTCAAAAAGTTTGTGTAAAATGTATATAATGAAAAGACTATGCATACATTTCAAAATGTTTTTTAAAAGATTTATTTATTTGAAAGGCAGAGTAAGAGAGAGAGAGGGAAAAACAGATATCCTCCATTTGCTGGGTCAGGCCAAAGCCAGGAGCCTTGTACTCCATCTGCATCTCCCACATGTGTAGCTGGCCCAAGGGCCTGGGCCATGTTCCACTGCTTTCCCAGGTAGCAGGGAAGTACAGCAGCCAGGATTGGAACTGGTGACCATATGGGATACCAGTGTTGCAAGTGGTAGCTTAACCCTCTGTGCCACAACCCCAGTCCTTCAAAATATTTTTGTACTAAAATAAACTCATCTTTTATTTTCATAATACATGTTTTACATGAGTTCTTTGGAAGACTCCCTCATGCACGTCTGTGTATGAGACTGGCTCTCACAATTGATAGAGACTGAGAAATCCCCAGATCTATAAACAGTAAGCCAGAGACTTGGGAAGGCCAACAGTGAGTTCCAGTCTGAAGGCCATCAGATTCCACAGCCAGAATGAACCAAACCAACGTTATTAGTTCAAGTACAAAAGCAGGAAAATGAAACAACAAAACAATGAAACAATTAAAAGGAAGTTAGGTAGGAGGAATTCCCCTTTTATCCTGGAGAGTTCCAATCTTTGTAAAACTTAATTTGTTTTTCAATTTTTGGTTGTTTATTTTCATTTTATTTGGAAGAGAGGGAGATTGCCTACATGAAACTTCAAAATGTACACCATGGTACATCAAATGCCTCTGAAAGTTTGTTTCTCATTGGGTTTTCATTGGGGCCAGTGTTGTGGTGTGGTAGGTAAAGCTGCCACTGCTGCTGTCAGCATCGCCTATGGTTGGTGGTTCCTGTCTGGGCTGCTCCATTTCCAACCCAGCTTCTGGCTAATGGCCTAGGAAAAACAGTGGAAGATGGCTCATGTGTTTGTGCCCCCTCCACCCATGTGGGAGACCCCGATGAAGTTCCTGGCTTTGGCCTGGCCCAACTCTGGCTGTTAAACAATCATCCAGAGGATATATCAGCTGAAGAAAGACATTGCTGTCTCTCACTTTCAAATAAATCAACCAATCTGTTTTTTTTTTTTTTAATTGTCTTTTTTCCTCAGGGCCTTCCTTCTCTGTCTCCAATTTCTAATTCAGAGTATGGTTTATTATGTTCCATCACTTTTACCCAGACATGAAATCCAAAATGTCTCAAGTTCTCCAAAAAAAAATTCTATTCACATAAAACATAATAAAACAGAATATTACTGAAATTCCAGGGTAGAGATAGTTTATATCAACTATCTCATGACATGTAAAATAGAATGCCCTCATGATTGCACTTGCTAAATCATTACTACTTTTCTTTTTAACCCAAAGATTACTTAAGAGCATTAAAAATTCCAAGTATGGGGGGCCAGCACTGTGACTCAGCAGGTTAAAGCCCTGGTCTGAAATGCCGGCATCCCTTATGGTCGCCGGTTCTAGCCCCTGGCTGCTCCTCTGCCAATCCAGCTCTTTGCTATGGCCTGGGATAGCAGCAGAAGATGGCCCAAGTCCTTGAGCCCCTGCACCCACATGGGAGACCCAGAAGAAGCTCTTGGCTCCTGGCTTTGGATTGGCGTAGCTCCGGCCGTTGCAGCCATCTGGGGAGTAAACCAGTGGATGGAAGAACTCTCTCTCTGTCTCTACCTCTCTCTGTAACTCTTTCAAATAAATAAAATAAAATAAAATCTTAAAAAAAATTCCAAGTATGCATTTTTTTTTCCTGTGTCAAAACCTCTTAGTTTCGTTATATGGTCATTTGTGCTTTCTAGAACATTACTCAAGTATTCTTTGTAATCTAGCATACAATAACTTAGAATTTCTCCAGGCTAAATGAAAAAATGCAATTAAGGTAATGAAATAATCTACATTACACTCACACACTCTCTCTTCATTATTTAAGTACCCATTTAGCCTTCCATTTAACTATTAAATAAATGTTGAAGTTAGAGTTCAACAGTTTTTGCTGGGTGTTCTCTTCTTTGCAAGATATTCAATGAATTTTTAGTTCATAAAATGCAATTTTAAGTGTACAGTGTTAATGAAATCTATTGGTTTACATCAGTAAAACTATCACCCATGTCAAGCTGTGGAACATTTGTTTTAGATGGATGCCACATTTACCACATAATCTCCTTAATGTTATATCTTGAATTGTCACATGCTTGAATTAACACAAATGTTGCTCTCTATTTCTGTGGCTTAGTTCCCACAATCCTTACTTTTATTCATGGTTTTATACAATTTCAGTATGCATAGTTACTCTGACTTTTGACCCTACCTGATAATTGAGATATTTATAACCAGTTTATAACTTCTGTACCTCAATGTATTTTATACCAATTTAAATGCCACCTGCCATTTTCCTTTTCCTGTATTTTCTTGGTCTTTTACCATTTCTTCTTCAATCAAAAAGTTGCAGGGTATATGTATATTCTATTTTTGTCTAACACATTGATGTTATATTGACTTAGATGAACATTACATAAGGAAGTAGCTATTGTTTTTCCCCAAGCAAAATGTACACAGAACAAAATTTTACCCAACTCATCTCCAACTAGTTTTCTTTTTATACTTCCAATATAAACATGGACAAATTTGGTACCTCTCCCCTTTTATAAGAAAAAAATAACAGAACCTGCACTTTCTAACTCTGTCAGATTACTATTTAGAATGCCTTGACTATACCTGTCCTGTCCAGTGACAAAGCTCTTTCATTTTTATTAAGAACATGCATATCTTTATGTACAACACTACATCATAAAACAGTATGTATTTGTTCAATATATTGAACATTTGGCATGCTTTTTCAGTTTAAAATTCTATCAACTGAAATTTTTGACATAGTTCACAAGTCTATTTTTATATTTAGTTTTACAGCCCTAACATAACATAATTTATACTTAATGCTCTTTGATTAGTTTTAATGGTCACCATTACTCTTCTATAAAATTGCCTCTCTACTCACTTCAATTGCTGTTCGCTGTTGGTTGCAGTAAATCATTCAGCAAATTTTTGAGGGAAGGCTCTTGGTTGACATACTTTGTTAAGCCCTGCCTGAGAATGTCTTCCAATTCCCTTTGTACAGAAACAACAACTTAGCAGGGTATATAATTCTTGGCTCAAAATTATTTTCCCTTAAAACTCTGTAGATATTGTTCCATTGTTTTCTGGCATTTAGAGTTGCAAAAGGAAATTCTGAAGTCAGCCTGATTTTGTCCCTTTTTAGGTAACCTGCTTTCTCTGTCTGGATACTTGTAAAACTTTTTCTTTATCCTCAAGATTTAAAAGCGTTATTAGGATATGTCTGGGAGTCGCTTTATTTTTGTTAAATTTTAAAGGTATCCTGTGAGCTTTTTCCACTTGTAGCTCTAGTTGGTTTTTCAACTCTAGAAATTTTTTTTTTCAATTAGCTCGTTAATTATTGTTGCAGCGCCGTTTGCTTTGTCCTGTTTCAGGTACTCCTATTCCTCAAAGATTGCATTTCCTGGCCGGACCCTCTAGGCCTTTCTTCTGTTGTCTTATCTTGATGCCTCCTCCCCTTTGCTTTGCATTCCGTGAGGTCTTCTCTTGCTGTGACTTTACTGCAGTAATTCCATTTGATGGCCAATCCGGTTTGCACATCTGTTACCTCTTTCAACTCCCTGACATTACCTGTTTTACCACTGAACCTAAGTCATTAAGCTCCTGCACTATATTATACCCAATCCTTTCAATATCTTCTATTTCCACCACTTCATCCATTTCGAGAGAAGACACTTTGTCGATTACTTGGCTCTGTTCCTTTCTTCTGAATGGCAGTTTTTTGACCTTGAAAATAATAAACAGAACTTAGTTCCCTGTACCTTGATTAATGCAACCCAATGATGTCTACTGATAATTACCCACGATTAAAAAAAAATGTTTTACGTTCCTTTCTTACCTTTTCAATAGCTGTCCTTACCGATGGGGGCCAAAAGCAAAGATTAAAGGTCACTTAGCACCACACAAAATAAACTACCAAAATGATTTCCTCGACGTCATCTCTGCGCGCCTCACGCCAGAGCCAATAGCCTAGCGCGTAGCTTGATTGCAGCAGGGCGCCCAGCGCTTCATTCAATCACCAGGCTGCAAACTCCAGCCACACCTCCGTGCGCCCTCACGCTCCTCCCCTGCCACTCCTCCCCTCAGCGCCGCGCCACGGTCGTGCGCACGCGCAGAATTCCATTCCGGTTACTCCTCATCCCAATGGCTCGGTGTAAGTCTGGTGCCGCCTTGAAGGCGGGGCTGACGTCCAGCCGTAGCCAATGGGGCCCCGGGTGAAGGTTGAGGGTTGAAGGTGCCTGCTCGCTGGAACTGCAGCTTCCGTCTCTCGCGTGTACTGGGCTACCTGGGCGTCATGGAGGCAGTCTCGACAGAAGAACTTGATGAAGAGGAGCAGCTGGTGAGAAGGCATCGTAAAGAGAAGAAGGAGTTGCAAGGTGATGGGGGAGGAAGTGGGAATCTAGACGTCTCCCGGGCCCTGGGCAGGGCGCGTGGCGGGTGGGTTCTGCGGATTCGGGAGCGTGTACTGATCTGGATCCCCCAAGACTGCCCCCAGAGCAGCAGGTGGTCGTTTTCTCCCTGCTTCCCCTCCTGCTTCGGCTGCCTCGTAATTCCTCAGCCCAAGTTTCTTCGGAGGCCTGCCGCTTACTCCTCGCCGCCCGATGTCCTCACCTCGGTTTGGAGGGCTCAAAAGGGATACTTAAAAGACTGGGACCTTCAGCCAATTTGTTTTTTTTTTTTCTCCTGTGTCGCCAAACAATGCACATAAATTCAAGGTTAAGTTACTGAACATATATTTTTTTCTCAGCTTCATCTGAGCCCCCCCCCCTTTTTTTAACTGTGATGCCTCCTTTTGCTTCCATAATTTATTCTTTTCTAGACCCCCTCCCTTTATCATTTCCTTATTGATTCCTGTTCACCATTTCCTTACTCTTGAGTTTCTGACATAATGATTTGGGTGACTTTGCAGCCAAAATTCAGGGTATGAAAAATGCTGTTCCCAAGAATGACAAAAAGAGAAGGAAGCAACTCACTGAAGATGTTGCTAAGTTGGAAAAAGAACTGGAACAGAAACACAAAGAGGAACTAGAGCAATTGAAGCTGACTTCTAAGAACAAGGTATGTGAAAAATGTTCGTCTTTGCCTGCAGCATTTGAAAACATTGTCTCCCTCTGTTAAACTATTGATGTATAAAATCATATAATTGGTAGAGAAAAGAATATCACCTTTCATGAGTATTTTTGTGACCAGGTTTACCTGGTAGTGTTTTTGTATGAGAGATCAGTAGATCAGTGAAAGGAGTACACCATTTTTTTTTTTTTAACCTGTTTACTTACTGAAAAACCAGCAGATTGATATAGGGTCTAGAGGAAGCTTCACCAAATGGAAGTTGGAAGATGAGACTTCTGTTTGCAAAATTGCCACTGGAACTTGGACAAAGTTAGCTAATCTTTCATTAGTTCACCTTTCATCACATATAGTGTGACAATACGCATACCTCTGCCATCTGATCCACAGATTCTTAAAAGAAACAAATTCAACAATAAATGTAAGAGCCTTTTTTTTTTTTAAGATTTTATTTATTTATTTCAAAGGCAGAGCAGCAGAGAGGGAGAGACAGAGATCTTCCATTCCCTGGTTCATGCCTCAAATGGCTGGAACAGTGAGGTCTGGGCCAGGAGCCAGGAATTTCATCCTGATCGCCCGCATGGATGGTGTGGGCCCAGATACTTGGGCCATCTTTTATTGCTTTCTAGAAGCATTAGCAGGGAGCTAGCTGGGTTGGAAGTGGAGCCTCCAGGTCTCAAACTGTGCTTCAGTATGAGATGCTGGAATGGAAGGTAGCAGCTTAATTGATCTGCATCATATCAGGCCGAAATTATTAATTTATTTATTTTATGTGAAAGGCAGAGGAACAGAGATGGTTCACTACCCAAATGCCACCAGTAGAAGGTGCTGGGATGGCCCAAGCTGGGAGCTAGGAAATCATTCTTAGTCTCCCTCTTGGAGGTGTGACCCAGCTGAGCCATCACCTGCTGCCCCCCAGGATGTGCATTAGCAGAAAGCTGGAATTTGAAGCAGAGCCAGTATTTGACCCTGGCACTCAGATAAGGGATGCTGGCATCTTAACCGCTGGGCCAAAGGCCCACCCCGAGATCATTTTTTAAATTATAAAAGTACTTTATGAACAAGTTATAATGAATGAGATTTTATTGATGTTTCTTGGTATAATGAAAGTATGCTAACTTTCATCATTTTAACTACTGTTTTTTCATTGTTTATGTATGTCGTGTGTATGTGCGTGCGCTAAGTACTTTGTTTAGCATATTACATGCATTATTTCATTTAATCCTCAGTAACATTGAGGCATTTCCTAAGAAGTGAGTGTAGATGATCCCATTTTCCAAGTGGGAACAGGCTTAGAGAGATTAATAATTTTTTGTCTCGAAGCTATAAGAGCTCTTCAGTGCCAAAGGCATAGTTAAAAATCAGAATGATCAGGGCGTGAATACTGAGTTCCGTAATACTTTGTATAGTGAGGTATTTTATGGCATGGATTTGGATATGAAGGATGATAACCTCTACAACCTCATTCTACATTTGATAGAAAATCCTTAGGTCTATGCTAAATCATATCTGGCATAATTACATTTTGTTTGGCTCACTTTTGGTCTACTGTTGACAGGGAGATCAGCCTGTCTACTGGTTTACATTGGTCCTGTAAAACTTCGTCTCTTTCTTTAACTGTTAGCTTCGTCATCAAGCTCCTTGGCCTTCCTTGCTTTTATTATACTTAATCTTCTTGTAACATGACATGGTGCTATAGGTGTTTAATTTTGTTGTCATGATTGTGGTATTGCTAATTGCTTCTCTTTTCTGATCGTAAGATTGTTTTGTTCGCTTTCTCAGGCCTTTCAGTTTTCAGATATTTTTCTTAGTCTTTCAACTATGAAAATATTTGATTCCTAAGATATGTATTTGCCAACTGTTAAAATACAAACTCTCATTCTACTTAGAACTATAATCTTTTCATTAACTTAAATTGGTTTTCTTTCAGAATACTGCCTAAATTCCATGCCATTGCTTTTGTTTTCAGTTGCTTCTCTGTTGTATCCTGCCTGTTGTCAATATGGCAGTTTGTGAATTTTAACTGATTCCTCTGAACAGCTTTAAAAAAAAATTGTTTATTTGAAAGACAAACTCTCAGAGAAGGGGTGGGGCAGGAGAAGGGGGAGAGGAAGGTAGATAGATCTTCCATCTGTTGGTTTACTTCCCCAAATGGCTGCAACAGTTTCTGGACCATGCTGAAACCAGTGGCCAGAAATTCCATTCAGGTCTCCAACATGAGTGATAGGGGCAGAAGCACTTGGACAATTGCCTGCTATCTTCTCAGGCACATTAGGAGGAAGCTGGATCAGAAGCAGAACAGTATGGGACCTGAACCAGTATGCTGTTATGGGATGTAGTCATTACAAGTAGGAGCTTATTAACCTGTGACGTGCCATAGTGTTGGTCCTACTTCAAAAAATCTGAAGATGCCTTATTTCATTAAAGTTAATTACAATGCTTTGAAGTCTTTTTCTGATTGTTATTTTGATTGTTTGGGATGTAACTTTTTGAGAGCTCTGTCTCTGTGTATTGGAGGCCTTGATTCATTTTATGTATGTGTCATACTGAAAACGAGCTTAACATGCAGCAGACATTTGGCCTTGTGTTTAAGATGCTGGTTGGGATGCCTGTATCCCAAAGTGGAGTGCTTGGGTCCTAGTCCTGGCTCAGCTCACGTTCCTGCTAACGCACACCCTGTGAGGCAGTAGGCAATGGCTGTAGTAGCTGGGTCCCTGCTTCCCATGTGGGAGACCTGGATTGAGTTTCCAACTCTAGGCTTCATCTTGGACTAGGCTTGGTTTGGTGGGCATTTAGAAAGCTAACCAATGAATGGGAGCTCGCTCGCTCGCTCTCTCTCTGTCTCTCTCTCTCTCTGCCTCTCAAATAAATATTTACAAAAATATTTAGCTTAAATTAAAGTTGTAATAAATACTAGCTACTCATCCTGGTAGTAGACCATCATCTTTTGTCTTATTTCAGCAAACAGGTAATAGCTATTTGAATATTAGAATTCATTGTAGTATCTAATGATGTTATATACATTAACTGTATTTTCTGTAGTTATCAGTTTGTATATAGGAAAGAATAGGAAAAGCTCAGCTTGTTACAAGGGCCTCGAATGATTGCTCATCAGCTCTAGCTAATTAAGGCAGAAGCCTCTGCTGCCACATTTGAAGTTATGAAAGTAGTAGTGCAGTGGACTGAAGCAGCACAGGATCTATATGTTATACAGATTAAATATCCCTAATCCTAAATCTGAAATCCTCCAAATTATAAAACTTTTTAATTTGCCACAAGTAGAAAATTCAACATGTGACCTCAGATGAAGGGGAGTTCACGGTTAAAATACAGGTGTACTAAAAATATTATGTGAAGACTCCATGTATAAGGTGTATATCACTCATGAAGGGATTTTGTTTAAATTGGAGCCCTGTCCCTAATATATCTCAATATGTATTTGTAAATATTTCTAAAACCTGAAATCCAAAACACTTCTAGTTTTAAGCATTTTAGATAAGGGATAGTCAACCTATAATGTCAACATTCAGAAAACAGAAGAGTGAAGAACTGAATGAATTGGCACTGACAGGAGGGAATATTTAGATTATTGCAGTAAAAGGAAGGAAAACCTGCGGAATGAGTATCATCTTTGAAGAACTACAGGGACACTTCTCGAGTATCTGACAAAGTCTCACGTAAAAATGAGAAAACAGACAAAACCATGTTGTCTAATACCATGTCTGGTGCTGTTACTGAACTTTCAAATATAGGATTGGGTATATTTGTGAATTTCAGTAATAATTTAGTAATCTAATACTTTCATTAATAAAAGTACTTTCCATTGACATGTTAATGCTTTTTGTTTCCTTCAGATAGATTCTGTTGCTGTTAACATTTCCAACTTGGTACTTGAGAATCAGCCACCACGGATATCAAAAGCACAAAAGAGACGGGTATGAAAGTCATGTCACCAGTATATAAGTTTGTGCTATGTGCTCCGTATCCCAGGTGT